AAGATTTTAATGGAATTGTATATACAAAATTAATGTTAGGTAAGTAAATGGCTTTTTAAACAACAAAACTAAAATATAAACTATTCTAAATATTGTTATTATAAATTACTAAAAAATATTTAAAGTAAAACGTGATTTAATTTGAACGCGGAAATAAGTTTTACTATTTCTCAAAATCTGATTGTGAAAATTAACAATAAAAATCGTTTATAAAAACMAAAAAATTATTTTATTATTTTAATTTGTTCAAAAACGTTTTTGAACAATTAAAATTCAAATTGGTTTTAATGCTAAGGAAAATAAAAAGTTAATTGTTATTGCTTCACAACAATATTTTAAGCAAAATGAGAAAAAAATTCAAAAATAATTTTTAGCAATTTTTTTCTGATTGTGAAAATTAACAATAAAAATCGTTTATAAAAACAAAAAAGCTTTATTATTTTAATTAGTTCAAAAACGTTTTTGAAAAATTAAAAAACAAATTGATTTTAATGCTAAGGAAAATAAAAAATTAATTGTTATTGCTTCACAACAATATTCTAAGCAAAGTGAGAAAAAAAATTCAAAAATAATTTTTAGCAATTTTTTTCTTTAATTTTTTTATATTATTTTTAAAAAATTTCAAATTTCGTTGCAAATTCAAAACCAAAACAATTTTTTTATTTCATTTCCACCCTAATTCATATATACATAATTTCATTTCTACACTCTTAAACCAATAAAATTCCAAGTATACGAAATTTACAATATTTAACATAAATACATTAACTGGTACACAGTGAGAMAATACCCAATTCTATAACTAAAATCACAAATATGCACTACTTTTACACAAAGAAGTAATCAATTTTAACTAAATTATTTATCATATTTTATATATACATATATATGATTYTAGGTAGTTGGGATTATCTGCGCACGCCTTGATACTCGCCATTGTTTGCGGAGCGTCCTTTTCCCGGAAAGCCACGCGCATATGGTGGTTTGGCATTTGTGGTCACATAGTAATTTCCACGAGCACTGCAAAAGTATTGGACATATAGAATCTTATACGGTCACGTATTAAAGCTTATAGCTCATAATTTCACTGGTTACACTAACTGAACACATACTGAAAAGCAGATGGGGGTTTTGAGCTGAGAACTCAAGGTTTAACTGAGAGGAAATAGAATTGTATTGATATTGTCAGGAAGTTATGTTAGAGAGATGAAACGAAAGTGGGGTAAYATGAGCTAAGCTGTGCTTTTAATATCATACGATGTTGTTGGATAATTTTCTAAAAGGATCCCATCTGCAAAGCGATTATGTTGAAGATAAAACTTGATATTGCTTGTTTTTATAATAGAGTAACTCTGTCAAATATATTACGTACGAGTAGGAAAAGGGAGTAAAACACCGATACTCGAAACTCACTTTCAAGGCCTCTTAGTGTAAAAATCGAGACTACTAAGGATTGTAAACTATTCAAGGATCACTCGAACGAATTTGGAAGATAAATCCGTCTATTACTTTGAGACATACTATATTTATAAATTAAGAGAATCAGACATTTTAGCAGACTTTAAACTACAAAAAGTTGATATGACCTCAAATAGAATTGTTGGAGCAATGTTTAGGCGAACCCTTCACAAAGTCTGAAGAAAATTTCATTCCTCCTCAAACTCGACATATTACACTTTACAGCTTTCTGAAAATATTTCCCTTTTGCTTTTCCTCTCAGCTTGCAATTTAAAATATTCACGACCATCCTTCTTATTTGCGGCTACTTTTTACTTACTCATGCGAGACATGTTCGCCCATTAGCACATAATCTGAATCTTTAGGCTCACACCAGCCTATTAGATAGGTGAAGAGATTCGGACAGGGACCCGCATAGAAACCACGCGTCGAAGTTATGGACTCGATGAAGTACGGTGTCACCTTCGTATGATCGCAGGCTAAGGTCTCTGCAGAAAATCAAAACACAAACAGACGAATAAATAAGCTCCAATCAAGGAATAAAAACACTRAAACCTACGAAAGAGCGTCGCTGAACCCACACACGCCGGCTGCCGCGTACCGCCGTTCACGTAAAAGTCCGCATGACCGCTCGAATGCCACTGACCCAAAATGCCGGCGCCAGTATGCAGCACATCGACAAAATGCGCATCGCTCGAGTCCAAGTCGCGYGAGTTGTTCGTGCCCGCGTAAAAGAAAATGGTCGGATCTAAGGCGGTAATGCGACCCAACTTACCTTCGTTTGGTTTCAGATAGTTCGCAATGAGTCCGGCAATATGTGCGCCCACRCTATAACCGATAAAGTGKAGATCATCRGGCCGCACACCACGCGGATGACGCGCTAAATACTTGACCAACTGTGAGATGCACAAGCTGCCGAAACGTGGYGCCCATTCCATTTGGCTGAGACAAGGCTCCTTCACCGCTTCGGCATAATCKACAATAATAATATTATAATCGCCGATGGTAAAGTAGGCCTCGCGCAAATCCGGACTGGGACTATTATTGCGTCCGCCRCCAAAGCCATGTATGATGATTTTGGTCGGATGCCGCGGATTGAAGTGCGTGTAGTAGAGCGCATTGTCGTTCAGCACATCGATGAATTCGGGATTCTGTTGTGTGCGTCGCGTGTAGAGGTAGAATTGTATCTTCGGATGTGGGCAACGATATGGCTTCTCCAGGCACGAATCGGTCACGTACACTTGATTCGTGTCGTTCTTACGTTGTGCGACTGCAAAGATGAAGTCAATCGGGTTTAATACTTGGTACTCGTAGGTGGTTAGAATGAAATCGATGATGATGATGAGTGTGTGTGTGAGTTTTGTGAAAATATGAGTTATTATTTGTGAAAATTGCACACTTTTCCGTTATATAAACACTTTCTCATGTTACACAAATAAATGCAAAAGCCTTTTATCTTCAAATCGAAAAAAAAAAAAAATTTTTTTAAATTTTTGCGTGCATTGAATTACATTTCTTGGATTTGCTAATCATAACAATTAATTGCGTGTCTTCGCAAACCGTTAACTGGTTTGATGCGTGTGGCGCCAAATTCCCAAATTTATGCAGTTACTTTTGTTATTGTTGTCGTTGCTTTGAAGAGAATTTGGCGGAAGTGTAGTGGATTCACACTTGCCAAACGGCATTACAACGAGACGATAATGCATGCAACATGCCACTCGCAGCATGCCACAGCAAATTAATGCGAATCAGGTGTTAGTGTTGCAAGCTTTGGCATTGTTAAACCGGTTACTTTTGACCGAAATTTACCGCTGTTTATTCAGTTCAATATGCGGAAGCGCTGCCTTCATTTAYTCGAAAGTGGAATTGCGCTGCGACAAGTTTGAATACTTGATTACAAAAGTTTGGGTTATCTTTCTTGAAAAAAGGTGTGTGTCTTGGCTACTTGACTATTTTTATTATAGCAAATACCGAAACCATTTTGAAGCCTAAAACATAGAGATATGCTGATTCTTAAATTTAAAATTTAAAATATTCAGAGTTTAACAGCTTACTGTAAGGCGGTCAAACAAAGAGAGAGGTGTCTTCTCTTAACAGCTAACTATAACATATAGAAAGAGCTTCAATGTTTTTATATTAAGAAGCACACCTAATGTAAAATTAAAAAACGTCGATTTTTTTGTTTGGATTTCGACATCTCAAAAATTTGTAAATTTTTGGTTATTTTTCGGCAGTAAACCGTTGTACTCTTTTAGAACCAACAGASGKGATCTAGTGACTGATTCTCAGAGCATACCGCAATTATGGAGGAAGCACTTCTTCAGCCAGTGAAAGCAAAACATCAGGAGATAGTGAACCCGATTCTGCAATTGATGACGCTAGAGAAGACGTTCCATTGCCCGACCATGAAGAAGTTTGGTCGGTGGATTACCGGACGAGTTATCACATCGGCGAAGAACTGATGAGAGAAATGCATCATGCCGTGGGATAAGCCTTCTCAATTGATGCTAACTTATCAGTATGGCTTTAGGCAGCATGTGTTACCTCGGACTGAGTAGGCAATTGAGAAGTAAAGTTCTCTCCTGACGAACAAAGACAAAATTCTATAAGTCGCTCATCATCTCCGTCCTGCAATATGCTGGACGACGACAACATCTGACGAGTTATCGAGAAAAAGGTTCTTCGGTTTATTTATGGGATGTTGAACTTGGACATTTGTCTCAATTCTACATCTCAAAGGCTACAGAAGCAACYTGTTGGTGGAGAGTTATACCTTTGATAGTAACTGTAACTTCAAATCTGTCTAATTTTAAGTCATTTCCATACCTCTATCTAGCTAGGTAAAGGGGACAGAAAGGTATTCTAACTCTAAAAACTTGGCACAACACTACATTATAACACAGTGAAGGATGAATTTAAACCCAAGATTTTTCGAAAATATGGAAAATCTTTAGTTGCGTGAAGATCACTTCGCTTAAAAGACAAYTTAATAAGACTTAGACTTTAGGTCACCACTTAAGTCATTAAAAAACCTTAGTTTCCAATTTTTATAATAGTAGATTTAATAACTAAAAATTTCTAGAACCCTGAAATACTTGGAGTTTATCTTATCTTTTCTGCAAGTTTTGTTATATCTTTTTTTTTTATTTATACTCTCGCCGGAATCAGAGATGCGCGCGGAATTTTACAAGTTTGAAGGTGGTCTTTGACAAGATCAACTCTACGATAATGGCATTCTAAGATCAAAGCCATGAGTAGTCTAAAGTTAGTGAAGGTCTGTCGACTCATAAGTCTCCATTGTTTCAATACAGTAGTGTATGGCCTTGGCCATTACATTTTCCTTAATTAATTTCCATAAAAATATTACAAGTGTCAGTGCTGAGGAGCGCTAATGTGAACCGTAATCCAAAAACAAACTACGCTTGTAATCCAAGCAACACCAACAACATATAGTAATATATTACATCATCATCTTCACCTCATTGTGCCTCAAACAACATATTAATCACCGACATCTAACTTTATTTGCTTGCWGGTCGAGCAACTTGAACTCTGCGCAGGTTATCTAATCACATAGAAATGCAACGCTTCCTTAAACAAAAAGTTGACAAATAGCAAAACAAAGTAACAACAAATGAACTAATGAAAATGCAATTCACAGTCCAACGAGCAACGGCGAGTCATCGCTGTTGGTGAAGTTGACAGTGACCAACGGTCCGCACACATACATACCAACATATGCGGCATGTATGAGGCTTACATAAGAATACCAAAAACAAAAAGTCATAAAAAAGACATTAAACAAAGCAATGCTATAATAAATGCAAGCTGAAGCTCATGGCAACACTAGCGACCAACAACAAGGTGATGAGCGTGCTTAATGGACAATTGAAAAGTAATGACAACAACATGCAAGCTCATACAGGTAAATAAATATTTATGAACATACATATGTATGCATAGCAGTATGTATGTTGGTATGTTTGCGGACAGCCGAAAAATTGCCATAGACATCTCACTAAGCCAAACTGGTGGTCACCATTAAATATTTATCCGCCACCTACGGTAGTAATGTGTTGCATTTGAGAGTTGCATAGTGGGCTAGTGTTAGTTGAGTAGATTAAATTAAAATTAATTAGGTTTGATTTGATGGCTGATCCAGAGATCGCAATTGGACTACTAAATGCAGTCCCTTGTGAAGCCATAAAAATATAACACCAGTAATTCGAACTTATTAGTCAGCAAAACGCTTTGGGGCCGATAAAAATTTCCAAAGGCGTTTAAATTCTATTCCTACAAGTTTGGTGGGATATCTGGTGAGACAATAAAAAAGTGTGAAAAGGAAGTGTTGAGATGTTTGTAGCCTTACAGCTTCCGAAGATAGCGTTCAGTAAAAACCTTATGACATTGACGCCGATAGGGTAATGGACTTTTAGAACTCCCACAACAAGGGAGAGGATAGCCTTACTGCAGGAATCCTCTCCACTAATTTGATCTCTTGCGATCAATCTTTGGCTAAAAGAAACTTGGAACAGCGCATGAGCGGATTGTAGCGCAGCGCTTGCCAATTTTTCGCAAATCCCAGCAATACAGAAGTAGAAAACACAAGAAGAGGTGAGCCGTTGCCTTTATACTGAAAGCGGAGCTAGGGTAACTTTTCTTGCCAGTTATTTAGTTAGTTACCTGTGATTCCGCTGCGGTCTGGCTTCCATATGAGTCTTATCAAGAATTCACTCGATGCTATTGATATTTTAACTAGCCCTGAACGCAAGTTTAGCGAGCTCAAGGCTGGAAAAACACTACAATGTCAGSAAGTCTGAAATTGAAGTTGAAAAAGACATCCTGACAATATACCCCTCCACCAACCTTCTCCTCAAGCTTAGACATATCCGTAGTAAGAAAGCTCAATGCCTCTCTTAACCAACGGTTTCTACCCATCATGAACCAAATAAAACAACATAACGACGAGTCAAAACGTGTAAGAATTTACAAATGTCCCGACATGTCTTTAGAAACGCAGTTTCTCTGAGCAATTTATTCAACCAAACACCTTTCTGCGAGTTCTATGGGCAATATAAGCAAAACGGCAATGAGTGCCATGGTTAGAGTGGACCTTAGAGCCCCACACATGCTGGTGAGCGCTGCTCGTTGGATGCTCTTCACCTTCCCTACAAGTGTGGTCTTTTTTAGAACCCTCCACCACACAAAGATCCCATAGAACATAATAGGYTTGACTGTGGGGTCGTAGAGCTAAAATACTACTTTCGGTGAGGAATTAATTGTTAATGGCTGCTTTACAACAGTACAAGGCAACCGATGCATCCTTGCTAGAGTGAATAGAGTAAAGTAGACCACATATTTTTCAAAGGAGGCGACGACATGACYTATTCAGCGTAGCCACTGTCTCTTCAYTCGCTGAATTATGTCAATTACTATGTATATCTCCTAGAGCTCATCATTCCATCGAATGCGATATTCACCGTTGTCAAAGCGCAAAGGACGACAAATCTTTTCCARAACCTTTCTCTCGAAAAGCCTTAGACTAAGTATCCTTTGGGTAGCCAAAAAYATCAGTTTGAAGGCGAACTAAAGTGACAAGACGAAACATCCCCTTCCCAGGGTTGTGCGCTGGGTTTGGAATCCGCCACGTAAAAAACCCTGTCAATGAAACAACAACCTCAGATAAGTGACCCCTTTTTAAGGACAAAGCATCGAACACTATTTACAAATATTCAAACATGTTTGCAATCTCGTCCACTGTCCAACAGCCGGCGAGACGTYGAAATTCCACGTGAGTGAGCAGCAAAAATTAGCACAGCAGCCAAAAAGGCGCACACATACAAAAACAAATACACATGCACAAATATTGGCAACAACAATATTTAGTGCCTCACACAGTTACCAACTAACGGCTTTCGTTGTTATTGCCGCTCTGCAATGTTTCCACCTACCAATGGTACTGTTGTTGTTGTTATTACAACGTTGCGTTTCGCTCGTAACTGGCATTTCTGCTCGGTTACACTCTGCGGTTACGTTGCGATGTTGCAAGAAGCCGGCTGGTCCGTTATTTTACGTTTTATTTTTGTTTTGATTACGTTGTTTGGCTTTCGGTTGATTGTACTCGTATTGTTGCTGTTGCAGTTGAATTAACCGGTACCTGCTGGCGTCTTCAACAGTTCAATGCGTTTATGTTAGCGTGAGTGGCATGTGTAGGTGTGTAAGCGTATGCTACCGTTGTTACATATGCGCAGTGCACAAATTGTATGATTT